AATAGAAAAGTTGAATAATTCGTGAGAAAGACACAAAACCTAATGTCTTAAATTTTTAGGTTATATGATTGGTTCATGTCTCATTTGTAAAAAAATTTCTATTGTTAGTCTTCCTGAAAAATACTCAATACACTACAAGAAAAAAATACTTTTAGCGACCGAAATTAGCGACTGAATTTTTGTTGTTGCAATTAGTGACTGATTTTGCTCCCAAAATATGATTTGGTTTCACTTTTTTATTTAGCGACCGAATTAACAACCAATAGTTTGCGTCGAAAAATTTCGGTGACTATTCCATACTAAAATAAAAAAAACATTTAGTGACTAATTTAGCGACCGAATTACAAATGAAAATAGTGATCAAATTGAAATCGGTCGCTAATGAGAAAATAACGACCGAATCGAAATCGGTCGCTAATGAACATTATTTTTTTATTATATTTAAATTTATTTTTTATAATTATACTTTAATTGCTTTAGTATATTTTTTACAATTTATTTTTTAAAAGTAATTTATTTTTTAAAAGTAATTTATTTTTTAAAAGTAATTTATTTTTTAAAAATAATTTATTTTTTAAAATATAATTTAAAAATAAACTTTGATATCAATGTTAACAAAATGAAGATTAAATTTAATTTTAAATTACTAAAATAAAACTAATATTAAAAATAAATCAAATTTATTAAAAATTTAAATTGTAATAAATTAAGACTAGAATGATATTAACTATTCAATACATTGTTTAAGAATAGTTTAATAACAAATATTCTTTAATATATTTTTTAATTAAAAATTTCAATTGAAATTATATTATATTTTAAAAATTTATATTAAAAAATTGAACACATCAAATTATCACATTTTAATTCCTTATTAACTTAATTAATTAAAAAAATTACAATTTCAATCAAATTATTTCGAATTTATTATATAATACTTTATTTTTAATCTAGTTTATAAATTTATTGTTTTATTATTATTAATTGTTTAACCATGGTTGTTTTCATATAATTGATATACCAGAAAAAAATTTATATCAAAATATAATTGATATACATTAGATAATAAATATATTATTTAAATAAATTATTTATAAAAATATATTTATCTTTAGTTGAAATATTTTTTTATTTTAAATATACTAATTAATATTGTTCATTTTTAACAAAATCAATAACAAAGATTAAAAACAGACAGCTATAGAAAAGTTAAAAATTTAAAACTAATCCATTTTAAAAATACTAAAAATAAAGCATATTTAAATAAATTAAAAATATATTTAAATTTATATTCAACACACCTCCAATTTTGTTCAATAAATATATAGATCACATATGGAAACTTCATCACTGAAATAACTTCAAAATTATTAACTTTGTTTTTTCAAAGCCCAATTTTTCTTGTCAGCTTTTTTCAAAAAAATAGTTAATATAAGTTAAGGTTGTACCTTTTTAAAATTTCAAATTTTTCATATATTGGATTTTTATTAAAATATTTCTAAAATTGGATAAGAAAATGGAGATTTAAGTATACTTTTAATAAATTTAAGATAATACTAGTTTTTATTTTTTAAAATATTTATTTTTATTTTTAAAAATATTTATTTTTATTTTTTAAAACAGAGAAACTATAATTTTAGTTTCTAAATAATAAATTTAAAGAATTAAATTTATTATTATTTAATCTCTTAATTTTAGTATTAAAAATTTTAATTATATTTTATTAAATTAAAATAATTACAATATATATTTTCTGCTTTGAGAATTAAAAATATAATTAAACTAAAACTGAAAAATATTATAATATATTTTTGAACTCTTTTTTATAATATTTTTATCATTATTATATTTTTGGATTAATTGTTTTTTTCCTAATTTTTTATAAAGTTAATTTTAATATTTAAAAATATTTAACATTTTGAATTCTGAAACTTTTTCTCTATTAGCAAATTTAAAAACATAATATACTAAAAAATTATTATACATAATTATTTCTTCCAAATTTTTAATAATATGATAAGTCATCAAATTCGTTTTTTCTTCTTTCATGTATTTTCTTGTCGATATGACTGCTTGAATTTATAAAAAAAATTATTTACAAAATTCACTTCTCTAATTTGTATCTTCACATTTCTTAACTATTTTTTTATAGTTATGAAGGTCAAAATTGATACACACACTTAAATATATTATAAATGAAGAATATTTGTTCATTCTATTTTTTTGTTCTCAACCTATAATTTTATTATTTTTATTTTAAAATATATTTTATATTTTTTAAAATTAATAATTTTAATCTAGTAATCTAAATCTATGATGTGATGATTCTAATTAATTGATATTATCAAATTATTTTATTTGATTTGTTATAATAAAAATCATAAAAGTAAATGTTAAAATAATATTAATTACTTTAAATTATAAGAAAATAAATAAAAAAAAATTTGAAGTTAAAAAATACGTAAAAATAAAATATAAAAAAAATAAATACTTGTCTCAAATAATATAAAACAAATTTAATGATGGATTAAAATAGAACAACATTTATAAGAGGCTATTTATTTTTATTTATGATGGATAAAAAATGGAAATACATTTAAATTTATAATTTTATTTATGAAACACATTTAAATTTATAATTAACGAAAATAATGAAAATCTTAATATAATATGATACTTTTAGTAATGTATTTTTTTATAAATTTAAACTTACTTTTTTTTTAGTTTAGTTTTTAAAATTTATGTATTATTATTGTTAATTGATATACTAGAATAAATTTATATAAAAATAGTCTTTATCTTCAAAATTCACTTCTTCAAATTCTATCTTTATATTTTTCTACTGTTTCTTTATAGTTAAGAAGGTCAACATTTATGCACACACTTAAATATAATATAAAGTAAAGAGTATTTGTTTATTCTATTTTCTTTCCAATCTATAATTTTATTATTTTTTTAAATATATTTTATATTTTTAAAATTAATAATTTTAATGTAGTTATCTAAGCTTTTGATGTGATGATTTTAATTAATTGATATTATCGAACCATTTTATTTGATTTATTATAGTAAAAATCATAAAAATAAATGTTAAAATAATATTAATTATTTTAAATTATAAGAAATTAAATAATAAAAATAGAAAATAAAGTATCCTTTAAAAGAAGACTAATTATTGTAAAGATAAAATAAAATATGGGAGGAGATGAGGATGATAATGTAGTATACATGATAGAGTTTTCAAAAAAATGTAGAATATGAGAAGTTTAAAAAGAAAAAAAAAGTAAAAAAAATGATATATACATAAATAATTTGATTAAATTTGTTATCCATTTATATATTATTATAAATTATTAGCGTAATTTTAGTTTAATTAAAAATTAAAATACAAATATACTAATATACCAATATATTATAATATTTGTAATTTATTTTCATTGTATAAATTACAAAACTAATAAATTTTAAAAATTTTAATGATAATTTTTTTAACTTATATATTACAAAATATTTTTAATACTTTAATAAATATAACTTTTTTTTAAATATATTTCATCAATTTAAAGTATAATTTTTTGATATTTTTTAGTATTTTTTTAAAATGTGGATATCTTTAATATTTTGTACATGTAAATATAATTTATATATGTTTTTAAACCTTTTTCTAAAATTTGTTTTTAAAAATATAATATTATTTTTAATATTTAATATTTATATTTTAAATTTTTTTCTTAAATGATGAATGAATAATATTAATATTTTTTAATTAATTAAATTTATAAATAATGAATTAAAAACATTTATTATCTTTAGAAAAATATAATATTATCTTTAATATTTTAATATTTATATTATAAATTCTTTATTAAATTATTAGGGTTCTTGTCTTTTTCTTTTCTTTCATCTCTACTTCAAGCTATCCAGAAATTTGTTTTCCATCTTATAAATTAAATTTTAAATATATAAGTATATAAATATATAAATATATAAATATATAAATATATCAAATATATAAATATATTTGTATTTATAGATTTTATATTTATATATTTATACGAATATACATTTATTTGTATATAAATATAAATTATTTGTAAGTTATTATTGAAAAATCCTAGTAATTTAGTGGTTAGAGTATCAACATCCAACTCTAAGATATTGGATTCGAATATTGTCATTGATAATAATTCCAACTTCTAAAAAATGTAATGAATAATAAAAATATAATATAAAGTGTAGGGACCCCTCTAGATAAATAGAAGTTTTAAATAAAATTTAACTTTGTCATCAATTTACCAACCGATTTAATATATTAATTTTGGTTGCTATTTTGGTATCTACGAAATAAGTGACCGAATTATTTAGCGACCACCTTATCGGTTGCTATTTTACGACCGAAATGAAAATCGGTCGCTAACACATTAGCGGCTTGACCTTTTGCAACGATGTATTTAGGTCGCTAATTTCGGTCGTTAACTGATTAGTAACCAATTTTTTGACATTGGCGATCGAATTTTTCGGTAGCTAAAACTGTTTTTTCTTGTAGTGATAATATTTGCTTTATGAAAATCTAAGTGAGAATTAAAATCATCTCATGTAAGTAGAAATAATAAAGTTAAATAACTTATAAATAAAAAAAATTAATTACCTAATGTCTTCAAGTTTTGAGTTGAAAATCTTATTTTCTTAAATAGGTGACTAGTGTCCCATTTATAAAAATCTTCCCATTATTAACTCACCTAAAAAATGCCTAACATTCCCTTTGAGAGATATGCAACTAGTTTTATTAAAGATTTATAATTTAATAGATTTGAGTAAAAAACAACTTTTTCAACTTCATTTATATCAAAGATAGAAATAACGGTCATGAGATATGCACCAAAAGGAAAAGGATGGAAATAAAGTAGCAAAATTGCATTTCTCAGTTTTACTTTCCATCACACATAACACTACCACTTCTAATTATTGTACATACATTAGCCAGCAACAAGTTTCCCCAATCACGAATGTAATGCAGAAAGTCTCTCTAGAAAGTGACTAAAATTTTCGTCAGTATCCAACATGCTAATTCTTACGTATTTTGGGCTAACCCCAAAGTGTTTTCCACTTCTAGTTAAGATGTTTTGTGCTCGAAGGAAGCTTTCGCAGTCTTCCACGTTTCCCTCACACTTTAGCCACACAAAAGCTGTCATGCATACAAGAAGAACAGTTAGAAAAATCATATTTGTTAAACCTGAAAATATCTTTTGCACAAGACATGTTTGATGAATTGAGTAAGTACCTGGTTGAGGCTCCAAGACCTGTTTGAAAAAAGTGCAGAATGCTGGGGAAAATTTGGGCAAACTAAACAAGCCGCTACGCTCCACAATTAGTCTCAGTTGCTTCCACCTGTTGGCCATTTGTTTGTGGCTGAACTTGAAGAATGACTCCCCCTCTTGGGAGTTTCCTTGTTCCCAGCTGTCAGAAACTGCCCTAATAACCTTAGCAGCCCTGAGTTGTGAATCCTTAGACACTCCAATTGTATTCAGCTCTATGAATTTTGTCATTTTCTTTGCTACCTCTTTGTCTTTCACAAGAGCCCACCTATACAAAATACAATTTTGTATGGAAGTTTTTAGGAATTTGATTGATCTTTCTTTTCATTGTTTTTTAATAGATAAAAAACTTGTCAGAAAACCAAATGGGTTCCTATCCAACTAGCCACACTTAAGGATTAGATAAGTGTTGAAAGAGTGATGAAAAAATATAGACTTAACTTGGAATATAGTTACACATATGTTGATTTTGACTTTTATTTTCTAATGATAACTAGTTTTATTTTAACAATCTGTTCAATGAAAATTTACATTAAAGGATTACGGTGGTTATGAAAATAAAAATCCAATACTGGTAGAACAATAAATCAAGAAACATCCAAGGAAAGGTATATAAATTTTGTGAAAAATAAAATAAATGATGAGGACTGTAGATAAGTTAGTGTTTATGACATGGGTGAACTTACCCTATGCGCATTCCAGCATGGCCAGTGCTTTTTGAGACAGTGAAAAGGGAAAGATCATGATCTGCAGGTCCTGATATTGGAGTGTACTGGGGCCAGTAATAGGCAAGATCATGGACCAAAACTCCCTGGCTTCTGTTGACCTTAGATCTTCTTACATGTCCATCAGGATTATTTGGTGAAGTAACCAGCTCAATGTAGGGACCCTCTTTCTCAAAACTTTCAGCATCACCACCCCATTGGTAAAGTCCTGATTTCAAGTGATTCGTCATTGATGGGTACGACTGCAGGTCGTTAGTCAGTTAGTTCACTCGTCAATTCCATTCCAAACCATCAATTAGTCAAACTAAATAACATGGCACGGTAAAATTTTCTCTTTGCAAAACCTCAACATATTGAAGGTCCTGTAAGGCCTAATTAGAAACACAGAACCTTGTGATGTAACTAGATTGTGTCCACTTGTCTAAATCTCATTCTCGTGGGTAACTTGTTTCCACACTGTATCAAGTGCGATTAAGGGTGGTCAATAAAACCATAATTGGTAATGAAACCACATGACACCTTCTTCTTCTTCTTTTTTTTTTTTTTTTTTTTTTTTTTTTACGAATTGAACGAATTACCTTGTTAGGATTTTCAAATCAAATCTACTTTATGACAGTTCCGCACATGCTATAGTTCAACAAAGTATAAATATCATGTGATCAGGTGCAGGTGTGCAGAATTATGAGTGTAGGAGCAGAGAGGAAAATATTCAAAAGCATAGAGCAATTATAAAGGAGAGATCGGCTGTTCAGCAACTTACATGGAAATAATTTATCAAATGTTATAGGCGGTAAGAAATTTTGAATCTAACCACCCTAAAATATTTTAATTATATTAAAGAAAATTTTGTTATATTTACCTGAAAAACATAATTTATAATTAGAAGTGATTTTGGACAGAGAAAAATTAAAAATACTACATTTTCCGATGAAATTATTAGCAAGAATTTTATGACTAAAAATTAATATTGAACAAAATTATTTAAAATTAGTTTTATGAATAACAAGATTTTACCCATAAATTATTTAAAATTAAAGAAAATTATTTAATATTGAAGAAAATTATTAAAAATTAGAAAAAATATATTTATATAAATAATTGTAATTAATTTTTAAATAATTTATATGAGGAATCCATAATAAAATGTTTATTTTTATTTTCAAGTAACTTTTTGGAACAAAATGTCCCCAGTTATTAGGCATGCAATAATTCCGTCAATATATAACTGAAAGTGGTGAAAATATTGTTCATGGCACAATTATACGAGTTATGGTAATTAGTACAAGAACATTTCCTGTACTTTATGGAAATTGTATCAGAAACAGACTGTGCTGTTCCTAATCATCCCCTTCCATATGTATGCCTTTTATTAATGAATACTTTTAAATTCTGCTGCAATATCTGAGAAATCTTCTTCGTCATTAATTCTAGAGAAAATAGACCATATAATTTTTATATGGTGATTCAATGATAAACCAAATTAAAATATCATTGATGCTTGAACTACAATATAAAATATAGTATATGAAAATCTTTACTCACTGAGTAGTAGGGGGAGGCACAGACAACACTGATTGGTTCAGGTGCATCAGTTGGGGAGAGAGCATAGAGAGCAGCCAGAAATAGCTGAGAAGAACCTGTTCCAACTACAATGTGACGCCCTTCTGTGACAGCATTTCCCACCACTGTGTGCAACCTCACCACTTCCCTCGCAAACTCTGCCTCCAAAAACCAGCAAATGTTGGTCACATCAGAAAAATAACTCATCGATTGCCACCCCGGGATTATGATCGTGCTCTTCTCACCCGTTTGTCGCCAAAATCTCTCATACACTCTCGGGTCTCCACTGCAAAAATGTTAGTTTTATATAGTTTTAATCTTGTTTTAATGTAAACATGTTATCAGAAACTACCCAGATCTCATGCATGATCTTCATGTCCAACAATGAACAAACATTTAAGAAATTAAAAATTCTGTCTTGTTTAATGTCATGAAGTACAAGCTATGTTATCTGTATTTGCAGCACACGGTCCTTCAATTGTAGACCATGATCTGAATTCAAAAGAAGGGTCCTAAACTCTCATATTTCCTTCAAAAGTAGATATATTGACTTCAACATATTCATGAAGATGTAACACTATACAATACAGTTGTCTCATATTTATTAAATATTATATGTTCAAATAACAGATGAATTAAAATTACACAACTAAAATAATAAGAGAATCGCATTCGTGAAGATAAAAATGAAAGACCAAATTAACAAAAATTACCATAATAAGAAGATTAAAAGTACAGTCAAACCGAAAAAAGCTTATAAAACTTAATGAACCTAGAGAGATACATTTAACCCTTCTCGCACATACTTCCGTCATTCTTTGAAGTAAATAAAGTCATACCAATAACTTTTTTTATACACGAAGATGTCCACAAATTAAGTAAAGAAGGAGCAATGAACAAGTTGAAGAAAGGGCATTGAATTAACTAAGGGAAGAATCTGCACGTGTAAAGTTATGGGAAAAGTAATTATAAAACTGCATAGCCAAAACAATGATTAGATGGGTTGAAATATAAGGGGTAGATGTATCAATTTGCCATAACATCAATGAATGGAAAGCATGCAGAGGTGAAGAGTAAAGGGGACAAAATATGTTGGAGGTGGATTTTCAATTTCTAAGGACCCACAATGCAGTCGATATGTGCAGATCCAGATTCCAAAGGGCCCAAATGGAAACCGAAATAGGAAAAATGAAAAACGAGAAAAACAAAGCTTATTTTTGCAATTGAGTGAATCACGATTGGGGCGACCAAAAAAGTTTAAAAAATCTCTTCTCACTCACTCAGCGAACCAAAGAAAAAAGAAAAAAGAAAAAAAAGTGCTTCCATAATCGTGTTTTGGCCACGGCCGAAAGAGCGTCTTCATGCAGTGCGCATAGACCATGTGACCCCACCAACTTCTTTGTTATTCTTCCAACTACCAACAAACACTATTATATCATAGCATTAAAAAATAAAAAATAAAAAAACTAAGCTTGATTTTTAAATGTTGATGCATTTTGTCTTAAATTTTATAAGATTAAACTTATAACATATGGGTTTTTAAAGTAAATTAATATACATAAATATATTATTATTCATATATTTAAGCTTGTTTTAAATAAGAAATTTGCAGTTGTTCCTATATTTTTCTATGAAATGGAGTAGACTTTTTCAGTTTATGAAAAAAGTGAATCAACCTCGAGTGAACAAGATCATTTGATGAAATAGAACTCTCACAAGGTTTATTGATTTAAAAATTGTGCTTTTAGAAGTTAAACACGCACGCTATAAAATATAAGGGTTCTTATAAATTTTATAGTTCAAATGGAATTGATGTCCATTAAAATTGACTTTTAGTTTACGATTCCATAATCAAATATACTATTATAGCAATAGTGAGTGTCTCTTAGGAAACGAATAATTGGTTGAAAGAGTCAATGACTTTAAAAAAACATATGTGCACATAGAACAAATATAAGAGGAGGTTAGTGTACATAATGATATTGGGTGGACAATGTCAATGAAAATCCCGCCAATGGTGCTCAAGTTAGACTATCTTACTTGGCTACTACTTCTACCACAAAAATGGGACTCTACTTTTTCTAACTAAATAAAGATGATTTCTTTTTTCTTTTTATTATGAAACACTATAAATCATACTACCATGTAAAAATTTGAGATGAGAAATTATATATTGATGTTTATTTTTTCTATTATAAAAGAAGAATAATGTCTATCTTCTACGTAATGTAAAATATCTAATATATTGTTTCTCTTTTTTATTAAGATATTACATAATTGACTTATCATATTTCTTAAATTAGATTTAAAGAAGATATTACTAAAATTCTATTTGTTTTCTATTATTTGTTTTAGTTTTTTTTTCATTTTTTATTTTAAGTATTCATTTAGCTTTGTTGTTACCGAGACATAATTATATAATCTACATAATAATGTTGACTAATCTTAGTATAATTATACATCGTATCTGAAAACCCAGGCAATCTTAAGCTATTTCCGAACATAGTAAAAACCATGTTAAGATTGATTTCAACGTGGTTCCAAACAAATTCAACATTTAGATGAGACTTTTAATTTTCCAAAAAAACTAATAGAACTTAATTATCTGAGAACTTAGCAGATTGTCTGACCTCAAACACACGATGATCGAGAAAATAAAGGATACAAACAAACAAGACCAAATCATTACGAACTCTTACTGAAAATTAGGACTTAAAAAAAAATAAATCCTAATAATTTCCTGATTGAGATGGTGTGAAAAAATGCTTTTAAGTTTTCTCCTAGGTTAATTTGACTAAGAGGGAAAGTATATAAATCTAATTAAGAATCAAATGGTCTAAATAATTCAACCTTAGATTCACCACTGTGTTCAATCTCGTGGTTAATTTCATTCATTTATTTACACTACTAATTTAAATTATATTCACAATCTCTCGTTTTCTACTAAAAAGTGTACAACAATCAAAATATAATCAAACAAATTATACTCTATCGATCTGCTGGTATATTCCTGACATTTTGGTATTAGAAAGTTACGTTAGAGAAGATGACTTGTCCATGTCATCTCGGGGAAGAATAGCAGTAGCAGGAAGCACAGATCAGTATCAAAGACGCAGGACTCAGTCATAGCTACCAGAAACAGAGCCACTATTGGCACATATAATGAAGCAAACAAACAGAAGAGGTAGCAGAGATAAAATGACAGTAGAATCCAACATTTTCAACCATTTACCGCCAAATTGTCTTTCAATCCAAACAAGGTCTGTCCTCAGTGATTGTATTATGAAAATAACGTTTGACTAAGAATAAAAACTTATACTTAGTTATCAATTTTGAAATACTTTTTGCACTAAAAAAATCTTCCCTTGAGAACTAGAACGTTAAAAATGTCTTAAAAACATGTGCCAAGTATCTCGAAACATCAAAGGTTGCTTAATTAATCATATATTATACATAATGTGTGCTTACTGGTCGAGGTTGATCACTCTATTCCCGCCACCTGTCGCGCGAGTAAAATTGGATGATGATGATGCTGATGATGATATAAGCATGTTGGAATTGGTTCTTGCAATCGATGTCCCTCTTTGTGATTCGAAACAAGAATGGTTGTGGGGTTCTTCTTCTGCTTCGTGGACCATTAATCTGAGTATGAGGCTGGCGTTCAAGGCGAGGGATAACACCAAGAAGTGTCTAGAAGAGAAGAAAGTGGGAAGCTTAGCCATACAGAAGGAAAGGGTGTGTGTGTTGGGGGGTGGGGGGAGAAGGAGTAGCTTTCTGGTTCTACAGGTGCCACTCTTATAAACTGTGTTTCGAGTGGACCTTTCCTTTGGGCACAAAATCAAGTTTAGATATGCCAACTTGCCTTAAATCGTCGAAACACCTATGTAGAATCGCATGTGCACTTCTACCGGGATTTTTTTGTTATTTTTGTTACAAGAAAAATAAAAAACGGCATACGGGTCAATTAAGTCAACAAACTAATGCATTAATTTTAGTTTAATTAAAATTAAAAAAAAGTATTTATATCAAAATAATTAATTAAAAATTTAAAATATTTTTTAATTTAAATTATATTAGTAAAATTAATTTTTATTTCTGATAGAATGATTTAATATATAAGTTTCAACATAATTGATGCATTCAAATATAAAATAAGAATTAAAAATTTATTTTTTATTATTATCATTCTTTCATTGTTTTTAATAATTAATTAATTTAAAACCATAATTCATCTTAATTAGTATATTCCAAAACAAGTGGATAATACACCCTTTTTCTTATATTTACTTTTAGAATAAATCAATATTTTATCAAATTGATTTTTAATACATATATTTTTTTAATAAAATAATATTATTTTATTTTTATTTAAAAAATAATTATTATTCTATAAAATGAATTAGTGTTAAGTCTATAGACTAGTTTGACTTAAGTTCATATAGAAAATTTAAATGAGTCTAGTCAAAATAAATCTGATTCAATTTAGACCATAAATTTTTTAGCCTAACCTAACTTATTTCTCGGGTTTTTCGGTCAACCCATCGGTTAAGCCTATTTTGATACCCTAACTATATATTGTATATTTATCAACATTTTAAAATGACAACTTAAAAAATAATTAACTTATACATGTAATCAAATATTTGAATACAATATTATAATATATAATAAAAATAACATAAACAATAATAATAATATAAGTATTCTATATCCGCATAAAAAATATTAAATATTTCATTTACATACACATTTTAATATAAATATAATAAATTAAAGTATATAATTAATTATTAAAAAAATTATAAATATTTATTTATAAATAAAAATATTAAAATTATTTATTATAAGTAAAATAATTTTTTAGAAATAATATAGAACGGGGATGATTGAGGACGGAGAAACCCGAAAACCCAAAGAAGACGGGATGATGATTTAATTTTTTACCCGACAGAAATCAAAGGGTAGGGGAGGCGATAACAACATGAAAGACAGTAATAATGTATTGTGAAGATTTGATTAATTTAATCAAAATTTTCAAGTGTAGATTGTGAGAATGTGAGAAGAGAAGTCTCACATCAGGGAAATTATATATTGGTGCTTACTTTTTCTGTTATAAAAGGAGCACTATGTCTATCTTGTACATCACCCAAAATCTTTTTTTTTTCTTTCTACTAGTGCATTGCATAGTAGTTGAGTTCTCTTATTTTTGAGAGAGAATATTATTATTGTTTTCTCCTTGGATTTAAAGAGGGTATTGTAATTTCTTCCGGTAATAAAATTATATTATTGCCTATTATCTCTTTTGTTTTTCTTTTTTCATCTTTTATTTTAGTTGTGAGTTCTTATGTAGTTACTCTGATTCCCAACAGTGGTATCAGAGTCGATGGTTTGTCCAGTGATCGGCTCAGTTGAGTATAATAGGTAAAAAATCCTTGTGTCGAAAGTCTTCCTGACAAAGGTTCAGACAACCGATGGTTCGTCCAATGAGGGGGAGATATACTAATGTGGAAGGGAATCACACTTGAGGGGGAGATGTTGAGAATTCAAGTGTGAGTTTAAAGTCCCAGATTGGGCAGAAATGAGAAAATTGAGTAACTTATAAGTGAGAAAGAACCAAATGTCTTAAGGTTTTGGGTTGAGAGTGGTGTCATATTCTCTTATATGGTTGACTCATGACTCATTTGTGAGAATATCCTGTTGTTAACTCTCTTAGAAATACTTAACAAAAATGTAATCTCATCTTATCTTATTGTCATGTATGATAACATAATATATATATATATATATATATATATATATATATATATATATATATATGAGTACAATTTTTATTTTACTGAGTTGATTTTTTGTAAGATTGGGTTATATGTATTTTCTAATATAATATTAAAGTTGATTCTGGAAATATTGTCATAAAAAAGTATTCTCAATATGAAAAAATGTGATAAATATCATATCAATTAGAGATATAATAACATTTTAATATATAAGTGAGTATAATTATCTTCTTCTTAAATTAATTTCGTAAGATTAATTTAGGTATTCGTTAATTTTATCATTTTATTTATTTAGACAAATTTGTTGTCTTTGAATAAAATACATAAAGAATTTTTTTTCTCTCTTATTGTTTCCTCTCTTCGTTCTAAATTTACATGGTTTGTAGCTTTGACTTTGATTGTGTATTCTATAATGGAAAAATATTTTATATATTTCTTTACTAAATTCTGGTATTAATGAAACTTTATATTTTCTTATCATGTCTGATTCTCTGTCCATAGAACCAATAATTACATGTTCAGAACCCGAATTGTAGAAATGATGTTGAATAAGCTGAATCCATCTACATTTGATGACGAGAAAAAGTTGGACTATCTGGCAAGAGACATCTTTCAACTAGAAATGACAGACTTCATTCTCCTAAAATGAAAGACATACAATTTAGTGACCATCGCCAAGTTGCTGAAGTAAGATTTTTTTTTTTTTTTCAATAAATTGTGATTACATCTAGAAATGTAATGGTGCTACAATATCCATTGGGTAATTGATAACACCACAAATCCTCCAATTGACTAAATAAAGATAAAGATGATTGAGAATGAATTATACTGCACCCGTTTGTAATTGTCATGGTCAGCATCCTATATGCCTGTCTCTGCAATGCAAGACGTAGACTGGTCTAATTAACACCTATCTCTGCTAGAAGGTGCTAATCCACAGTAATAAGAGGACCAATGAATCAACAACGTGATATCCTAATTCAAATATTCTCTTGTCCATCATTTTGACACTTGCTCTTTTTTGAAAATTTGACCCTCTGAGTTTTCATTTTGGAAACTCCACTTACTCTTTGACACTTGCTCTCAGCGAAGCTATTCGAAGTCCATATTCAAACCTTTGCCCAGTTTTTAGACTCTTTTTTTGAACCCATGTTTTTTCTTTCCGCCCAATGTTTTTAAAAAAGACATTATTATTCTTTGTGGTTTCAATGTAATGGTGGTGGTCAAGATTGAATAACTTTGTGAATACATAAAATTTATCAAGAACTTAAAAACTTCATTTTTATTAATTCTTTGTAATACTACAAATAAGATTACAGTTTTATATTTAAACATTCCTAAGAGTTCCTAATATTAACTCTCTAGAAATTGAAATATTAACTCTGTAGAATCCAAAACTTTTTACAATAACAACCTCAATAACATCACTTTCTAAATCGTTCAAAAATGATCAGAAACGTTCTAACACCAAATATACGTTTTTTCAACCAATTATTAATTTTATCCTAATAATTGCTTTACCATATTGTAGACTCCAAATTTTCTCCGGTCTCTCAAATAAAGCCAAAAGATCTCTGTTCAAAGATGGATAAGACCTCTTTAGGTCCCTAGGCATGTTTATTAGGCTCCATAGTAGGATAGGAAGACCTTCTATACACGAAAATAAGAGAAATCTCGTCACACTACTACAAATTGAAAGTGATCCTAGCAAAGATCTCATTGATTTGATGAAGTCAAAAATAAAGTCAAGGGTCAACTCTGCAGCTGTCAAACAAGTCACTCAGAACAAAGGAGCTGAAGACTTAGTGTGTCTTATCAGAAAGCTTAGGTAAAACCACTTTACCTTTTCCACTGCATGAAGCTCCTTCACTCAATTTGCAAAATGCCTCAAAAATAGTTTTAAACAAATAAAAAACAAAAGCATTTTGTCAAAGAACCTTCTTAACAATGGTTTTAACTGATATAGTTTTTTAAGAAACGATTAAAATCACTAAGAATGCGTAAAAAATTGTTTTTACAGTATTTTAATCGATACAAACTTCTTTTAATCGATTAAAACCCTTTAGAAATCATTATGACCGATTAGAATTCGAATATGACAGGTCAGAATGAAATATAATCAATCAGATTTTAAATATGAGCGATCAGATTGATTTTAATCGATTAAAACACGTTTTAATCGATTAAAACCACTTTGGAAGACAGGATGATCGATCAGAATGAAATTATGACCGATCAGAGTTGGTTATGATCGATCAGAATTGAATTATGACCGATCAGACTTATTTCAATCGATTAAAACTAATTTCAATCGATTAAAATGACTTGAAAATATATGTGCAGTTTTTCAATCGATTGAAACGACTTTATATCAGCTAAAATAACTTGGAAAGTTTTATAAGAAGGTTTTTAAACAAATCAATCGATTAATACGCGATTCAATCGATTGTTTTATACTTTGAAAATGTTTGTAAAATGTTTTAACTGATATAAACATGGTTGTATCAACTAAAACAATTTTGTTAAAGAAACAAGAACGCATTAATGGGTTGAAAGGACTTTTAACAGATTATAACGGCTATTTCAACAGATTAAAACAAACTTTCAACAGATTAATTAATGCAGCTTTTTCTGAAAACTCTTTATAAACAGTTTTGATTGAATTTTTTAGACAGAGATTGAATATCAGTTTTTACACAATTCAAGCAATCAATACAAGCAACTATTAGCATTCTTTTCAAGAAAGATACACAACTATTTTTGTGAACTTCTTTTGAAATCTTTCTTGAGGCATATTGCATCCTTTGAAGAAGAAACTTACTGTGGATTAGCGTAATCCGGTTTGAGCTTTCTTGTTTCTTCTTTTCAATTGCTTTTCATTACTTTGTATTGTGTTGTACCTGGAATTTGGGTACAAGTTTTCTGCAGCTGGTAGGTGGTTGTAGAAGTTTCCAAGAACTGGAATTTGGTTCTTGGTGGAGAGGTTAAGTGCAGGAACTGGAATTTGGTTCTTGTACTGTTTGG